CGTGTTTTAGAAACAGCACTGAGCGAGATGCACGCTGGCGTTAAATGCCATCTCCAGTTTGAATTTTCAAAGCAGTTTTAAATTTCGGTTATGGATTTTCGAAAATTTCCACGAAGAACACACACTAATTATAAATTACGAAGAAGGCAATTACCAGCAGTTAGAACTCCACAACAATAGGAACGCACTTTGAGAACATAACACAAGAATAAACAGAGCCCCAAAGGGGTGGGAAGGGACCGGGAAGAGCACCCTGCTCCTCCCCACATCATCCTAGAAAGGCTTCTTATGAACTTGTGGGCAAGGACCGCTCGTTCAGAGGCTGTGCCTACAGGCTGCAGGGCTTGTGAGAGGCCGAGTTGAGTTCAAGCTAAGATTTTGAAATCCGTGGCGCTTCCTCTGCTCTTAATGCCAGCAGTGCTGAGCTGTTACGTCAGCCATCGCATGCAATCGCTCCTGTAAGCAGACCCACACTGCTGCTCCTCCAGCCTCAGACCTCTCTGTCACACGTGGAGAGCGGAGGCTGCCTTCCCTTCCCAGCCCCTAGCTTTCCAGTCTCCTTTGCTGAGTTTCTTCTCCAATGTCTTAGTTGTGGAGTGTCTGAGGGTTCAGATGCTCCATCTATGCCTATTACCCTAGTGATTTCATTCAGTTTCAGCTCTTCTTCCTCTTCTTTTTTTTTTTTTTTCAACATAATATTTTTATTATTTGGGAGTTTCTCATAATGCTCCCCAATTACACTCACTTTCCCATTCCTGTCAGGTCAACCCCCCACCCTTGTGACACCCTCACCCACCCAACACCGCCACACAAAACAAGTCCATATACTCACTGCAACATGGTCAGTCCCTTAGGGAAAGCTGAGTCCTTCTCCCCCACCCCCGTACCCCCGTTCAGCACCCTCATCACAGTTTTGAAGATTTCTCTTCCATAGCTTCCTGTCTAGGCTGTTACTTTTTGGGTGTTGGGGTAGGGGTTGACACAGAAGCCGGCTGTTTCTATTTCTGAACTGTGAGTTTGCAGTCATCTGTAAAAGCAGCTCCCTTGTCCTTTATAGTCAGCGGGAGCACAGATCATGGGCTTCCACATGGTTTCCGGCAACAGGACGGATCATGGACATACCCATGGCCTCCGGTGTCAGCCCGAGCCACTCTAGGCTCTTAACACTCCTGTACACACAGATTTCCCCCACCCCCGACATTGTTTTTCTGTATAGCCTTGGCTGTCCTGAACTCTCTCTGTAGATCGGGGCTGGCCTCAAACTCAGAGCTCCACCTGCCTTTGCCTCCCAAGTGCTGGGATTAAAGGGGTACACCACCACCACCCAGCCTGGACTTCTAATTTCCATCTCCAACCTGGAGTTTCTCTGATCTGCAGACCCAGCATCCCAGCTAACTTTTTTAAAAATTTATTATCTTGTGTGTGTTTGAGTGTTTTGCCTGCGTGTATGTATGTATGTATGTGCACTCTGCGTGCCTGGTGGCTTCACAGAGGGTACTAGAGCTCTGCAGCCTGAGTTATAGACAGTTGCTAGGCACCGTGTAGGGGCTTGGGAATTGAATTTGGGTCCTCTGCAAGAGCAACAAGCCTTCCTCACCACCGAGCCAACTTTCCAGTTCCCCAGCTGATGTCTAATGGTTGCATAAGTTAAACACGTCTTGGGAGGAGGCCTGCTCTTCCCCAATCACAAATCATTTCTCCTCAGCTTTCTTTCTTGATTTCAGTTCGTAGCAACTTCAGTCTTCCTTGGCCCCAAACCTTGCAGCTGTAATGAAATCCCCTTTGCCCCAACAACTGTTCAAAACACACTGGTTCCGACTTACAGCCTGCAGCTTGCCAGGCCTCTCCCTCCCCTGTCACCTGGATTTCTGCAGCCGCCAAGGTTTAGTTTTCTTGCTTCCTTCCTGGCCCTCTCCTCCTGTTCAACTCAGAAGTCAAAAGAACAGATTTTGAAGTAAATATCAGATGAGGTCACCCCTGGGCTCAGAAAGCTCTTAGCAGCTAACAGACAACAAAGCAGTTCCTGGCATCCTGAAAGTCTGTGCTGCCCATTGAGACCATTGCTCTTCATCCCTCAGTGTGGTCCTTGCCCTTCCACAAACATTCCCAGGCAGCTTCACTCTTTTAGACTTCCACCTGGCAGTAGGTTTTTTTTTTTGTTGTTGTTGTCGTTTTGTTTTGTTTTTTAAGTCTTTGCTTAACTGTGAGGCCTTCTTGCCCTTCACTGTCTCCCCTCAACTTCCTCTTCCCACAGCAGTTAGCATCTTCTGGCAAATGCTAGCACCTGTTTATTCCTTTTGCTCTTTTGGTCCCTTCTGCCACACAAGGTCCGGAGCATAAAAATTCGAATTTGCTTTCCCTCAGCTACCCCAGAGTAGCACCTGCCCTGGAATGCTGTTACTTAACAGATGGCGCCAGTCAGTGTGCTATGCGTCGAGTCTAGAGAAAGGTTTTGTCAGTAGCCTGAGAGCCGCTTAAGGAGTCCATTTTGACTCCCAGCAACCCAAGCCATCTTTCGAATAATCGGCAACAGATGCCTGCGTGATGGAGATGCTCTGCCCTTCAGAATGGAAACAGGACCATCCAGGGGGAGACCTGCTCAGCCTCAAAAGGGCAACGCAGCAGACACCACCCATGCTCCTGGCACAAAGTTCACGAAAGTGTTAATGAACATCCAGCATCTAGTCAAGGTGGTCAGAGTAAGACGGCAGAGCAAGTGTTTAAGTGTGAGCCTGGAAGTGGAATAATAAGCATTTAAGGGGTCATTTTTTTTTTTCCTTTTGGTGAAAGGTTTATCTATTTACTCTAACGAACGTGAGCACTCTATCTGAATGCACAGCTGCATGCCAGAAAAGGGCATCAGATCCCAGTATAGGTGGTTATGAGCCACATGGAATTGAACTCAGGACTTCTGGAAGAACAGTGCTCTCAACCACTGAGCCATCTCTCCAGCCCCTTGACGGGTCGTCTTAAGCGTTACCATCCCACAAAGCAAACTTTAATTTGAAACTGCTATTTCTAAAGACTCCAGCAGTGACTGGCATCTAACAGGTACTCAAGAGAATGCTTAGAAAATGGACAAATTTGCTTACACGGAGAACTGCGCTATATAAAGGAGAAACAGTGGTATCCTTAACTGTTCTGTTTACCCTCAACACCAAGTGCACACACACCTTAAATTCCCCGGGGAATGTCCCCTGCCTTCTAGTTCTGGGAAGTGGCACCTCACCAGTGCCCTCATTGACCTAGGATAGCCCCCAAGATCACACAGCTGGGGCCAGAACCTACACGTCCAGGCTCCCAGAGTCTAACCACTATGAAAAGAATGATTTTGGAGGCCGAGAGCCACATTTTCAGATTTGATTTCAACCAAGTGTTCCCATCTGAGAAAAGCCTGCCAAAATTTTTTTTAAAAATTTCTAAAAAGTGCTCTGTAAACGGTAAAGTGCTATCAAATGGTTAGCCGCCTTTGGATCACTGCCAAAGTCAACAGATTGAAGGCTGGGTTTAAGACTCGACTCTTCATTTGGTAGGGGTGGACACTGAAAGGTCCTCTTCTAAATAGGGTTAATATATTGGCCAGAACCAGGACACAACTTGCTTGTCCTTGTCCCACCACGGAACCCTCTATCTGTGTGGAGCAGAATACGCTTAGACGACGGAGAACCAGTGTTTTACATTTGTCATTAGAATCAATGTTCAGGGCTCTCCCTACCCCGTTTGGCTCGCAATTCTTGAGACACATCGTGCACCTGACCACTGGGCGAATTGCTCTCCCCAGAACTCCCCACCGCCTGGGTGTTTCTCTTCTCTATTACCCAGCCCTACTGCATTACAATTTACACCGTGAGCGAGCTCTGGCTTCCAAACCACATTCTTCCACCCTCACCTCACAGCTGAATGGGCATTGATTATTCTTCCAACTTGGCTTGTGAAAGGGGACACCACAAAGAATCAACTTCACCTTTTCTGGCTTCCTTACCCCAGTGGCCAACGCTAGCAGGGCAACAGTGTTGGGCGACCTTTGGCATTAGGTTAATGATCTGGGTCTGAGCCTGGGCGAGATAACGAGCCTGGGAATGATAAATAAGGACCTGACTGTCTTAAGCTTTATCATCGGGAATCCGAGGAGAGCCCTCTGTCCCGCGTGCCCTGCCCTCTTTCCTGAGCATCTCTTCTTCATCTGTCGGAGCTAATGGGGTTTAGGTGGCAGACATTCATTCCCCACAAGTTCCCATTCAAAAGGCGGTGTACCAACTCAGTCTCGGGTGTTTCCACACTTAAGGGCTTGTAAAACAGTAAAAGACAGATAGCAGATAACTTACAGAGAGCCTTCTGTTCTAGGCTGTAAAAGGCTCTATTTTTTTTTTCTTCTGTAACAGGAGTCTTGAAAGCTCCAAGTTAAAAGTGCATAGGGATACAACAGGAACCCTTTACACAGGATGCTATACAACTGCTGTTGGTTTTCTTCCAGTATCTCCTAAGTGTTTTGTGTGTTACATGCTGTCTATTTTCCTCCAAGAGCAAGATATGGACACAGAGGAAAAGGTATTTGCTGTTACATAAAACAAACAAACCCTAAACAAAAAAAAGCTAGTTCTTTTGAGAGACCAAAAGAAAGTATTTCACTTGTCCAAAGCAAAACCTATTCAGAGAAAAACTGGGAAACAGTCTTCGTGTTTACCAGTTTTCAAAATATCAACCGAAGGTGCTGAGTTAGAACTGACTAAAAAAAAGGCCTGCCTGGTTAATCTTTCCACAGAATCCAAGGTTCAGGCGAATCATGTTTTAAAGGGGGCACATTAGTAAACCCTGGGTTGGGGTAGGCTCTCTGCCTCTAGCCCCTTGGGAACAGATTTTTTTTAGTCCTAACTTCTTTCAACCCCATCATCCATTAGAGAGGGGGGAGGGGCAGGGAGTTGAGAGAAAAACCCAACGGCTCTTGCTTGCTTGCAAATCAAAGCACTGAGGTAAAGAAAGAGGCAGGTTTGAGGAGCGTGTAAAGGAGAGCAAACTTCTTTATTGTACACAGTACAGAAGATAACGCAGCTCGGCAGGAGGCGCACAGCCCTGTGCAGGGAAAAGTATTTCACATCAACCGGCAGGCTAAAGCCTTTCTGCACTGTAGACTTTCCACACTCTGGAAAAGAAGTAAATGAATGAAACAACCCCCACACCCGGAAGGAAAGAGCTATCTGGGAGGTTCATGAATCCAACGGGAATGCAAAATGACTCCGCTGTCCTGTGTCCCTTGATGGCACAGGCTGTGCAGTCACAGCGGGGGAGGGGCAGCTCAGGCTACAGAAAATTCTTTTCATACCCAATGAAACAGCATAAACTTATTAAAAAACAAAACAAAAACAAACCCCAAACCAGTATTAAGTAAAGAGGGGGAGAAAAATCTATACAGCATTTACAACAAATAAATCTCTAGCCAGCTGGGGTAAAATATGCATCTACGTATAGACTATGTGTAGATTAGAAAGCTATAAATATGGTTTAGAGAGTCCTTTCATTAGAGTACAACGCTAATTAAGGCCCAAGCTTCAGGTTTGACATCTTTGTGGGCTGACAAGCTTCCAAGAGGAGAACCTTCTTAGGTCCTCAGAGCTGTAAACTGCAGGCCTGAGCCCTGTGACCTCCTCACAAGTGTGCTGTAAGTCGTGAGAGCAGCTGTGGAGTGCCTCTCTCGTAGGACGGCAAAGCGTGTCCCACGCTCAATCAGTTCTGTGTCCTGCACATGAGGAACACTCTTAACGAGTAGAGTATCAAGGACAGCAGACTCCTGTCAACAGGGCCGCAGGAGCAAGGGACTGGTGCTTTTGACTGACTTTTCTTCCACTCTGAACCCAAGCTCCATACAGCTTTAGTTTGGTTGTTCAGAACATTCCCAATATAATACAGCAATCAGAATAAAAATTGATTGAAGAAGAAGAAGAAAAAAAAGCACGAAGCCAGAATGCTAGCACTTTTACCTGTCAAGGACAGGTAAAGTTTTAGACCCTAGGGAACCATTATGCAGGGTTCGAAGTCCAAAACCGAAAGGAAAAAGGAAGAGAGAAACTGAGGCCTGGGGTTCCCCGCCAGGTGACCAGTGGTTAACATGGATATGACGTGTAGTATGTACATCTGCTTCCCAGAGAGGGCAAGTTGGTGAGCGTGGAGGACTATACACATAGAAATCTAAGCTGTGTCCAGGCTGCCCTGCACACTTCAAAAAATGTACAAATCGGGTGGAGGTGCCGTGAACAGGTGGCCTGGTGCAGAAGGCACCGCGCAGGCTTCCATGCAGCGAACGGGAAGCCCCAGCAAAGCCCCCCTCAGCTGCAGTGTCTTCCTAAGTGGGCGAGGCCCTGCCTAAGGGATGCAGTGCAGTTACCAAAAAGTTTTTATTTTTTGCTTTAAATACCAAAACTACAAAAATCAGTTTATATAAACTGTTTTTCCCCCCAAAACAATCACCAAAACCAAAATGATCCCCCCCAAAAGCAAAACAAAATACTGTCAAGTGTTAATCGTCTTTCCTCTAAAATAGAAGCTATCCGCACTCAGCCATGTGACTGGGAGGAGAGGGGGCTTGATCTACCTGGTTGACCACTTGGCCAGAAGGCTCAAGAGGAGCAGTGGTCAGAAAACCATGGAGTGGGATAACAGCTGTCCTGGCCTCCCTAGCTATGGACTAGGTAAGGGAAACGAGCTACCAGAGTTTCGCAAATTCTAAGCCTCAATGGTCTGAGCCTTCCCAACCCAGCCTATCGACTCGCCTATGGGCGTGCGGTTTCTTTCCAAAGAACTGTGCAAGTGAAAGCTCTTCTACGCAGAGGCAGCTAGCAGTCTGTGATCAACGCAGATTGTCATACACTCGTTCCCTTTTGTCGGCGCTAACCTGAAAAAGGTATTGTTCTGCACACACTGTCCATAATGGCCAGGAGGCTTCACTTTCATCTCTTCTCAGGAATCAGAATCACCAGCGGCCTGGGGTTTTTTTTTCTGTCTCTCCCTGTCCCCACTCCCTAGCCAAGGTATTTGTCTTGAAGGGTGTCAAATCCAGAGACGGCTTGGGTTCTCCAGATAATACTCAAAGGGCAAGCTTTAGGAACAGCCAAGAACACAAACAAAACCACTGCCCTCATTTGCCTGAATGGGGACCGCTAGCTCGAGGGTTTGGCTACTCAGCCATTCCGAAACTTAGTAAGCGAAGCCTTCGGCGTAGGGGAGGCTGCCGCAGCGATCCACGTCCAGGAGGTAAGCAGGGTTGTCTTCGAAGTGAGTCAGCGGCAGGGTGTCCTCCTCGCTGAGGGGGCATTCCGACTCTGCCTTCAGGAAGGGACGCTGATTGTCGGGGAAGGCCATGGAGAAGAGCGCGTCTGGGTCACAGACAAACTTGTAGACGTACCGTTCCCCAGCCACCTGCATGAGAACACACAGCGCACAAGGCTGCTCAGCTGGGGCGAGGCCTGGGGCCCGAGCGGAGAAAACGAGAACCTTCAAGACAGCAGCTTCTCAGGGAGTCAAAAACCCAAGAGCTAATTAGAGTTGATTATTCCAATCATATGCAATAGAAACGCAACTAATAAAACACCTCTTCCTGCGTCTGAGATTTGATCTGATGCTATTAAGTAGGTTGGAGGGGAAATGGAGATTGAATGCTAATGAATATGATTTTGGGGGGAGGGGTGTGAGGGGGGCTAGTGAATAAAATACCATAAAATCAATTATGCAAATACTCCAAAAATTTGAAAAACTTCAAAAGTATATGAGTGCTCTTTCTGCATGTACACTTGCATACCAGAAGAGGGCATCAGACCCCAGTGAGGACGGTTGTGAGCCACCAAGTGGTTGCTGGGAATTGAACTCAGGTCCTCTGGAAGAACAGACAGTGCTCTTAACCACTGAGCCATCTCTCCACCCCCAGTTCCATCTTCTACTTACCAATGGGGTTTTACGGTTGAGGTCTCTTAACCCCTACCCTAATAAGGATTCTACACTGGCTCTTGCAAAATATACTTTATCTTCTCTTCTGCAAAGGGAGGTCTCTTAATGAACGGCTGTGGCTGCTAGTTGACAAGCACTGTGTCTCTTAAGTTCCAGGCTGTGTAGGTTGGAAATAAGAAATAGATTTTCGCTTTCCACCATCTTGGTGCCTGGGAAGGCCTGCTGGGAACAGGATTTAAGCAGCAGATATGTCTGGAAGGCTGTGGTGCAAGGCCATTTTTGCTAGCTACAAGCGAGGTCTCTGGAACCAAAGAGAGCATATAGCTCTTCTTAAAATTGAGGGTATTTATGCCCGAGATGAAACAGAATTCTACTTAGACAAGAGATGTGCTTGTGTGTATAAGGCAAAAAACAATACACTGACTCCTGGAGGCAAGCCAAACAAAACCAGAGTAATCTGGGGAAAAGTAACTCGGGCCCATGGAAACAGTGGCATGGTAATTCTGAAGCAACCTTCCTGCGAAGGCCACTGGACACAGAATCCGTGTGATGTACCCTTCCTGGATTTAAACTAATGAAAAGTAAATAAATACAAGTGGATTTGTGCAAAAAAAAAAAAAAAAAAAAAAAAGAAAGAAAGAAAGAAAGAAAGAAAGAAAGAAAGAAAGAAAGAAAGAAAGAAAGAAAGAAAAAAGAAATAGATTTTCTTATTCTCCTATGGTGTTTCACTGTAATGACAGGTGTAGAGAGATTTTCTTATTCTCCTACGGTGTTTCACTGTAATGACAGGTGTAGAGAGCTGTGCCCTGGACAGTTTAACAACTAAAGATTCCAAGAGGTCTGGAGTAGAGATCTTAAGTTCATTCCTTTGTGTCTTTGCTTAAATGTTTGAGTCTTTTTTAACTAGAAGATGCTTAAGAAAAGCAGATGAAGCCAATTTCCTCCTGTGTCTTCCACAGCAACTTCTGTTACACATATTCAACAACATCAAAACCATTTTTAAAACAGGTTTTGGGGGCTGGAGGGATGGCTCAGAGGTTAAGAGCACTGGCTGTTCTTCCTAAGGTTCTGAGTTCAATTCCTAGCAACCACATGGTGACTCATAACCACTTATAATGTGATCTGGTACCCTCTTCTGGTCTACAGACACACATGCAGGCAGAATACTGTATAAATAATATAAATAATAATAAAAAAAATATTAAAAACAACAACAACAAAAAAAAACAGGCTTTGTTGTTGTTAACGTGTACATGTGTGGAGCGGAGTGCATGTATATGTATCATGTGTACACGGCCTGCGAAGGAGAGAAGATGGCATCAGATCTGCAGAAGCTGGAGTTACAGAAGGCCCTGCGTGCACTTCCTGGTGTGGGCACCTGAAGCCAGGTCCAGGGAGAGCACACTGTGCTTTCAAAAGCTGAGCCGTCTCTCCAGTCCTAAGGGTACTTTAAAGATCTCCTTTTCACGTTTTTAGAGACAGGCTCTTACAGAGAGCGGGCTGGCCTGGAATTTGGTATACAGGTGAAAGTGGCTTTGAGCTTATGATTCTCTTGCTTCCACCTCCCAAGTGGTGGCATTATAGGTACGTGCCACTCTGTCTTGTCCACAGATTCACTTATGAGGCTCATGGCTTCCTCTAGTTAGTAGTATAAAAGTCTTATTACAGAGGTTAGCCCATCCTCCTCGGAAGCGGAGGTGATCTAAACTCACCTTCTGCATGATGCCCTTTTCGTAGTAATAGCGCAGAGAGCGGCTCAGCTTGTCGTAGTTCATGGCTGGCCGATTCTTCTGGATACCCCAACGCCTTGCAACCTGAAGGGACAAGAGAGCAAAGATGCTAACACATTCCCAGGATGTTCTGTACCTCAACGGCGGCGGCCAATGATCGGCTTCCTCTAACTTGGAAAGGAAAGCGTTTAATTCTCTTGAGATCAAATATTAAGTAAAGGTGACGATTCGGCCACAGTTCCTAGGACGTGAGACCTGCGGGTGAAGACTCCTAACATGGTAAGACTGGAGGGGACTTGGTTGGCATCCCAGAGGATCCAGGCCCTCTGCTATTTCTCCATTTATGAATTATTGACCAATACTCACAGACCATTAGCGTTCTGCCATTAAGTGCTATGGTTTCTGTAGCAGTCAATAAGGAATAATTAGAACGGTCATTCCTGAAACATTAGGAACATGCCAGTGAGCTGCTAATGGGCCTGCAGAGCACAGGTTCAATTCTAATAAGATTGGAGAGGGGCTGGAGGACTCAGATCATCACAGCCTACTGCCATCCAGCCATTTGCTCACAGCAGACCCGCAGAACGGACGGCAAGGCACGTAGCACCATTACCCATTTAATGAAAAATTAACAGGGCTTCTTGCACGGTTCTAAAGTGCATTACAGCAAGCCAGTCCACTTGAGGTGCAGAGATGGGGAGACGTAATCAGAGCTTTGGGCAAAGAGGCGTTAGAGTAGGAAAATTTCCTATCAGAGTCCACCCGATTATTGGGGCAGCCAATCAAGTTTGGCTCCCAGCATCCAAACTTTCAACTGTGGAAACACGAGCTGTCTGAGGTCTTCATTTTGGTTACTTCTGGAAACTTTGGCTGGGTTGTGCCAATCTTTAATCCTAGTGCTCTGGAGGTAGAGGCGAGTGGAGCTCTGAGTTCGAGACCAGCCTGGTTTACAGAGTGAGTTTCAGGACAACCAGGGCTAAACACAGAGAAACTGTCTTAAAAAAAAACCAAAGAGCAAACAAAAACAAAAGACACTTCAAAAAAGGCCTATCAAACTACATTCTTTTGATGTTTTTCTAATTTTTTTTTTTTTTTTGTATTATTTGGAGATAGGATCTCTCTCTATAGCCCAGGCTTGCCTCAAACTCTCAACCTTCCCACCTCTGCTTTCCCAGTTGCTTGGGTCACAGGCATGCACCATCAATGCCAACTCACTCTTTGAGATAAGGGGCGCGCGTGCAAGCACGCACGCACGCACGCACACACACAGAGGGGAGAGAGAGACAGAGTGACTCCAGGCAGCAAGACCATAGGTTAAATGGTGCAATAACAGAAAGTCTTCCCAAATTCAGGATTCTAGAATTACCTCTAGCAAACACCAGAGACAACCTGGGAAGGAAGACCCCATCTGTCCTAATTACAGCAGAGCCACCCACCAGCCACATCTTCTACTTTGTCCTGCAAGAAATCCCATGCAGGTTAAATCTCCGATTGCTGTTCAGTGTCTCCCAGGCAACTACGAATCTCAGGTCTCCCCCTTTTCATGAATTCAAGTCTATTTAAAAAAATAAAACAAAGCTGCTTTTTTGAGAAAACACCAAATGGCAGCTGATGCCGGTGCAGTGGGAGGGCCCAGGAGGCTGAGGCGGCTTCTGAGAAGGATTCAGCATTGGTCTTAGGGGCTGCGGTTGTGGCCAAGAGTGGGGGTGGGCTCATGAAGGTAAAGCTGAAGACAAGGAGTGGATCCCTGTCACCAAGCTGGGCTGCCTGGTTAAGGACGTGAAGACTAAGCCCCTGGAAGAGATCTACCTGTTCTCTTGGCCCATTAAGAAATCCAAGATTACTGACTTTTTCCTGGTGCATCCCGGAAAGGATGAGGTTCTAAAGATCATGCCACGCAGAAGCAGAAGCAGATGCAGGCCGGCCAGTGGAGCAGGTGCAAGGTTTTAGTTGCTATTCAGGACTACAACGGTCACGCTGGTCTTGGTGTTAAGTGCTCTAAGGAGGTAGCCCCATCCCAGGGGCCACCATCTTGGCCAAGCCTTCCAACATCCCCATGAGGAAAGGCTACTGAGGGAACAAGATTGGCAAGCTCCTCACTGTTCCGGCAAGGTGACAGGCCGCTGTGGTTCTGTTTGGTGCATGTCATCCCTGCCCACAGAGGCACTGGCATCATCTCTGTCCCTGTGCCCAAGAAGCTACTAGGATGGTCGGTACCAATGACTGCTACACATCAGCCAGGGGCTGTGCTGCCATCCTGGACAGCTTTGCCAAGGCCACCTTTGATGCCACCTCCAAGACCTACAGCTACCTGAGCCCCGACCTCTGGAAAGAGGCTGTGCTCACCAAGTCTCCTTGTCAGGAATTCACTGATCATCTTGTAAAAACCCACACCAGAGTCTCTGTTCAGAGCACCCAGGCTCCAGCTGTGGCTACCATGTTAAGTTTTGTTGTTGTTTTTTTAATATAAGAAAAATAAAGTGAATTAAGTCTGTTAAAAAACAAAAAACAAACAACAACAAAACAGAAAACCCAAAAGGTAGAGGCCTAAGTGGTAGAACCTGCCTTTAATCTCAGCACTATGAGGCAGGCAGATCTCTGAGTTCATGGCCAGCCTGGTCTACAGAGTGAGTTCAGGGCAGCCAGGGCTCTGTTATACAGAGAAACCGTGTCTCCAAAAAAACCAAAACAAAGCCCAAAAGGCAAAACTTAGCAAAAACTAAATCCTCATTTTAATGAGACAGGGTCTTATTATGTAGCCATGGCTGGCCTGGAACTCACTGTGTAGCCCAGGCTTGTCTTGACCTCTGGCCTGCTGGAATTAAAGGTGTGTGCCAACCTGCCCAGCAAGGGTAAATATTCTAAATCAACGGAAATATTGGTAAAAAAATAAACAAACAAATACATAAATAAAAATAAAATTCTGCTCAGTCAATCTCAGTCCTGCCAGGATCAATGGCAACTCACATGCCAAAACTAAGCCCCAACTCGTCTGCCACAAGGGACAAGGAATGTCAAGGTAACTGGCTTCGTCTCTTTACTCCACCCAATGGTGGAAAACCACTTTGCCTAGCCTTCAGCTTGCGCAGTGACCTCTCTGCTGTCAGCACATGCGATAGCTTACTGGAGAGGTTTTATGTATGTGCAGATCTCAAAGCTGCTCTGGTAGTTATAATTCCTGACTCACCCTCCAGGCCGGTGCCCCGTGATTCAGAGGCCCCCTCTATAGTAAGGCATGATGCAGCTGGAGACTCGGGCAGTCCTTATTTGGTGTTACGAGGAGCAGGCGAGAGCGTATTGCCAGCTCGTTCTTTCTTTCTGTTTCCCTAGTAGTAGGTTATAGAATGTTCATTTTGGGAGCTGAGATGGGGCGGGGGTGGGGGGAGAGAAGGACACAGGGACTCACCTATTCCTCTTCAAAGAGCAAGCGAACAGTCGCAGGACAAGGAGCAGCTCTTTCTAGCAAGCCAGCTTTTAAAACCTCCCATGGAATCACTGGTCTGCCTCATGTCCAACACACAACCCCATGGCCCCCCAATATTCATATTAATGCAGATTCACAGTTAAAATGGCTCCAGATTAAAGCCGAGTCAGTCACAATTGAGAGGGTGCTAAGTTGGATGACTGTCAAAAGACATTTGATTAGGGGGCCTGCCAAAACGCAGTTCTAAAACCACAATTTCCATGCACAGTGTAATGGATATTATGGATAATTACCCAGAGTGCACTACTCAGCCACACAGCTGCCTACAATTACATCCCCAACAGCTTCCTCCTCTGCTTCACCCTTTAAGCTCCCCCCTGACAACTTCTTGCAGCTTTCCCCAGGAGCTGGTGGCATCTTCCCGACATTAACAAGGACAAGGTCCTCACAGTTACACAGGGAGCAGAAGAGGAAAACAAACATCTCGTAGGCCGAGGCTAAGTGTTCTGAAGACTGCAAAGGGCCCCGTATGAAGGCGCGAAAGAACGCCAGGGACCTCAGCATAGGGAGAAAAAAGCAGCCCCTAAAGAAACGATGCTGGGATGCCTCAGTGGGCGGAGGCACCAGGGCCGTGCCTCCTGGACCCACATGATAGAAAACTCCTGTGGGTTGCCCTCTGAGGCAGCACACGCAAACCTGCGCCACTCCCACAATAAAAATGCAACAACAATAAATGCTGCTCAATCCACAGAGAGGCTCAGGGCCACACACGTGACTTGGCATTTATGAGCATTCTGGGTTAATATTAGTTCCTTCATTAAGTAAGAAAGCAGGGGCCCTCTGCCATCTGTTCATCATTTTCCTTACTGCTGGTAGGAGAGCGGAAGATTCAATAACAGCCTTACAGAGGCTCATAACCAGGTTTACCTGCAGCTGGACAGCCTGTGCTCAGGCCCGAGGCGGTGGCAATAAAGTCATAAAAGCTCCTGTTTGTGGGATGAGATGAATCAATAAGGGCTGCCCACAAGACAGGCTTACTTTCATTTCAAAAAGGCTTGGTGAGTCAAGGTGTCCCCCCCCAGTCTCATGTAAAGCAGGCCACATTAACAGGAAGGTCCCGAGTGAGGAAGGAATGGGCCTAGGCGGGGCAGTGGCCCTCCAGCAGGACAACTGAGGCCAACCAGAGGCTGGCTGTGGTGCTACGATGTTGATAGCATTTCTGTGTAAACAGGAGACAGGGAATGTGGCGCTATGTTCATTTGGAGGCCAGAGAGGCAAGCTGGGTGTCTTCTGTGCTTGTTCTCTGCTTCACTTTCTGAGACAGGGCCTCTCCCTAAACCTGGAACTCATCCATTTGATTAGGCTGGACAGGGATCTGTCTGCCTTCACCCCGAGTGCCAGCGTTACAGATGTGGTGCTGTGTCTGGCTTTTCCATGGATGCTGAGGACACACACTGGAAACTTCGTTGTCGTGTGGCCGGCACCTGAACGACTGCACCTTTCTCCTTAGCCTCACACATGGATGTTTTCTACCACGTTAAAGGAAGCCTGCCATATTCTTCTACCAATTCAAGATTTCCCCAATGTCTAATCCATCTTTTCTCCTCCTTTTCCTATCAACTTTCAGACCACGTCCTCCTCCAAACAAAGTATCAGGGTGTTGCCTCCTGTTGCTAACTCTGCAGTCTTTAATGGGATGCTTCCCAACAGTGCAGTTCTCATTTCCGTTGTAGCCAACTCAGGGATAGCATTTACCTAACCATGCACCATAAAAGAAGCATATGTCAGCTGGCGAGTGTATCTTTTTTTGTTGTTTTTTTGAGATGGTTTTATTCGAGTAGCCTAGACTGTCCTGGACTGGCTTTGTACACCAGGCTGGCCTTGAACTCACAGTGATCCACCTGCCTGCCTCTGTCTCCCCGAGTGCTAAGATTACAGGTGTGTGCCACTGGGCCCGGCGTGTGTGTGTGTGTGTGTACTTAGTCAAATAGAAAGTACTCCCTTTGGAATGTGTTCCACTAATAACTGGGTTTAATTCTTCTCTATGCTGTCTGTTCAGGAAGGGGTCTCATCTTCGCTGAAGATGAGGTGGTTAACAGTGCTGGCACGCGGGGGGAGGGGGAAGGACACTTTCAAAGGAGTCACCTAAGACTTTCTGCATATCAGATATTTACATTACAATACTAACAGTAGCAAAATTAGAGTTACGAAGTAGCCACAAAAATAATTTTACGGTTGGGGTCATCACAACAGAAGAACTGTATTAAGGGGCTGCGGCATCAAGAAAGAAGGTTGAGAACCACTGTTGGAGAGCATTTTCTTAATTAGTCCTTGCTGTGGGAGGGCCTCTTCAATTTTGAGTGGGGACTCCCCTGGTTTTATAAGAAAGGCTGAGCAAGCCAGTAAGCAACACGTCTTCATGGCCTCTGCGTCAGCTCCTGCCTCCAACTTCCTGCCCTGTTTGAGCTCCTGCCTGGACCTCCTTGGATGATGAACAATGATATGGAAGCATAAGATCCCCTCACCTCCCCCCCCAAAAAAAAAAACCCCAAAATCTTTTTCTACAGGAGTTGCTTTTGGTCATGGTGTTTTTTCACAGCAACAGTAATCCTAACTACAATACCCAGGATCCTACATAACATCTTTTTTTAAAAAAAGCATCTATATATTCTGGAGAGATGGCTTAGCAGTTAAGAGCACTGTGTTCTGCAGAGGACCCAGGTTGGATTCCCAGCACCCACACAGTAGCTGTCAAGCACCTGTAACTCTAGTTCCAGGGGATCCAATGCCCTCTCCTGGCTCCCAAAGGCACTGCATGTATGTGGTAGATCTACATACAGCCAGGCCCGCGCACGCGTGCATGCGTGCGTACACGTACACACACACACACACACGAAATAAATACTTATAAAAAGTTTAGGTTTCTCAGACTTATCTTGGGTAATTTTATTTCTCCAAGTTTAGAGTCATCTACAGTATGTAGTGAGGTCAGTGAGGACTCAGCAGGTTAAGGCACTTGCTGCTACTACCAATCCCGGCGACTTAAGTTTGATCCCTGAGACCCACATACAGGAGAGAACTGATGGCCAAAACGGGTCCTCTGACTTTCACACGCACACATGAATTGAATGCACAAGCACGTGAACACACACTAAATAAATATTGAAAAAGAAAAGAAATACGTAGGAGGGTAAATACTAGCATGTCACACAGTATGTTCAGGCAGCCTCAAGCCACAGGCTGTGAACCGACTAGGGTTGAGATCAACTCAGCTGTGTTATAGAAACTGCACTTCCACAACTTTAAGAGGACGAACGCATCCTATACTAGAGCAACTCTTCATGGCTTCAACCCCCATTCCACCCCCATGCCCTGGGGTGCGATATACTTTTAATGTTGTCTACAATGGAGGACTCTTGCCTGTTCGTTTGGCAACATGCAGAAAATTGTCCTATTGACAGGAAGAACACTGCCGAGCCCACCAGCAGAGCCCACCAGGCACAGCCTCTCCCTCTCTCTCCCATCCAGCAACTACTGTGGTGGCTTAAGTAAGAAATGTGCCCCATAGTCCCTGGCAGTTGAACCCTTGGTGTCCAGTTGGTGTTTGCTGTCTGAGGAGAACTAGGAGGCATGGCTTTGCTGGAGGAAGTGTGTCACTGGAGGGGGCTTTGAGGTTTCAAAGTCCTGAGCCATCCCTAGTGCGTGCTCTTTGCCTCATGTTAATGCTGAAGCTGTGAGCTCCTAGCTTCCTTCTCCTGCCACCATGCCTGCAGCTTGCTGCCCTGCCTCCTTGCCATGACAAGCTCTTACCTCCCCGGAACTGTAGAAAGCCCAAATACACGTTTCTATAAGTTTCCTCGGTCACGATGTCTTATCACAGCAACAGAAAAGTAACGGAGACACTCAGACTCACCTCTTCCGGTTCTATCAGCTTAAATTCCATGCCTCGACCAGTCCAGGCGATGAAGTGGGCATTGGCTGGGTCATCAAGAAGGGTGACAAGGAACTGCCACAGCTGAAGGGAGCCTCGTCTCTGATAGGGGGGGCCCTCCCGGTACATGGTGGGCTCCTGCTTGACTTTGCCTGTGTGGGACAGGGGTGTACATGTAATAATTTAGGCTGGAGTTTCGGGGGGGGGGGTGTTGCTTAAAAAAGCAGTGCAACCCTCTCACCCAGCATCCGGTCTTGGATGGGCATCTTACCTTCCAGTCTTTCCGGCACCACGCAAGTGTCATCAAAGTATAGCCTGGGGTCCTTTTCGTATGTGAATCCTGAAAGAGTTTTAAAAAGAAAGCCCACACTTGCTTAGCATCCGGTACTATACTAAAAACTATACTGACATTCTTTAATGTAAACAACTTTTTTATTATCATCTTGTATTCGTGGTGTGCATATGCCCCACACAGCTCTCTGGGGTCAGTTCTCTTTTACCTTTCACAGGGGTCCTGGGGACCTGAACCCAGGATGTCAGGTGTTCGTGGCAAGTGCTTCTGCCTGTGGAACCCTCTCACCAGGTTGTTTCATTTTTGGTTCCTTAGCGTTTCTGTTGCACCAATGCCAGACTGAATTTCCAGAGACTTCCAAAGGACTCAAGCATTCACGTTCTGATGTCATTATCTTGGTCTCAGTGAGGGCTGAATCAGTTCCTGCTAACAGGGCTCGAGCTGCAGGAACCACTGAGTCACCACAGGGTCCTTCACATCGTAAGCCGTTTGCAGGAGGCACTGTTTCTATGACTAACGCATCCACTCTGGTCAGCCTAGCACGCTGGCTTTCTTTTGTTTGTGACAGTGCTGTCATTTTCCTTTCTGCTAACATGAACTCAGCCTTCCCAACATACGTGTCCAAGCTCTCCACACATTTCATGGGCTCTGACAAAGCGTTGAAGAAAAAGAAAATGGGCAGAGCCGCAGGGCGACGGAAGACTAGTTAAGAGCAGCACACTTCAACCAAAACTGGAGCACTGTCTCCAAACAGAAGGAATCAGGGGAGAGTTGTCCACAGAAAGGGGGTCAAGAAATAGGAATCAAGCTGGTGATACGCACTCTGTAACCCCAGCACTCTGGAAGGCACAGGCAGGCAGATCTCGAGTTTGAGGCCAGCCTGGCTACAGAGACACCCTGTCTCAAAAAACCAAAATCAAAACCAACCAACCAACCAACCAAAAAAAAAAAAAAAAACAGAAAACCGAGGCTGGGCAGTGGTGGTGCACACCTTTAAACCCAGTGCTTGGGAGGCAGAGGCAGGTGGATCTCAGAGCTGGAGGCCAGCCGGATCTACAGAGGGAGTTCCAATTTATCCAGGGTCACACAGGGAAACACTGTCTCATATAACCAAAAGGGGAACTGAGTGGTTCAAAGACACACACCAAAGACTAAATGGCTAAGGCATGAAGTGAAGGGATGATGGAAAAAGATGGCTGCACATTCTCCACCAACAAACTGCTGACATGTGTGAGTGTAGAGCCTCCTACTCCTCAACAAGATTCATGGTTCAAGCCCAAGGCAGCTAACAGCTCCATGACAGGCACCCCATGCTCCCTGCCTCAACAGCATCACACTTGGTATACAGTGCTTCATCCCTGGCTTAGTCCCTGGCTCAGTCACCTGGTTGGAGGCTGCCAGTCCGTGTGGACTGAATATGCAGACGGGAGGACAGGCAAAGTGACATGCAAACCCCACACAGGTCAAGGATCCCAGACGGGAATCCCTCGGTCTTCAAAATCAGCTCAGGCCCGGCACCATCATAATATGCTGAGGCCTAGAAAAAACTCAGTGCAATGGAGGAGACTAATTCTCCTGATGTTTATGCGGCTCATCTTTCGTTCTTCAGCCTTAGGCGTGATTTTTCTGTTTAAATTAACGGCACCATATACAGGCCAGAGAAATGGCGCAATGGGTCAGAGCACTGGGCTGCTACACCACAGTGCAATAGCTTTTGGTGCAGTGTGTGAGACAAACGGCGCTAAGGAAAGACAGCTGCAGACTGTAGCCAGCACCGTTAAGACACCCAGTGATCCTGTGCCAGGTGGGATGGCTCATGCCTTCAGTTCCAGCACTCTGGGGGCAGAGGCAGGTGGATCTCTTTGGAGTTCCAGGCAGCCTTGTCCACTCAGGAGTAACGGTGAGACCCTGCCTCAAAAACATACAAACTAGCAAACAACCCAAAATGCCAGTATGAGGATTTTAATCTTGATATCCCCTGCCATGGAGGGGATTTCCCAAGGACGAACGGTCATATCCTATGTATCTTAGTGTTGTCATAACTCCTTACCTATAATAACTGTTCAGTATTCGAGGGACTACACACCTTTTCCTTTGAGACATGCTCTCATGCGGCACAGGCTACCCTGAATTCATAGAGCTGAGGACAACCTTAAACTTCTCATCTTCCTACCCCACCCCCAAGCGCTAGGACCATATAGGTGTGTGCACAACACCTGGCAAACTGGCTTTTATGACAATCTGGCATTATCAGCAAGTCATAATTCCTCATGCGTCATGCTTCTTACCCTTAGCTGCCAGGAGGTGACACAGTCCCCACCTTCCATATGTGTTTTGGTACTCCAGTACTGTTTAAATGGTCTCGTTATAAAGTCATTTTAAGCGGAAACCACTTTAAAGTTTATACACCTGTCAAATGTGCCGTGTTATTTCTCTTATTTCTCAGCACTGTTTTGTTGTTGTTTTTTTTCCTCCAAGGTATAGATAATTCATCCACAACCCCACAAGCCTAGATTAAATTCTTGTTTTGGTTTTCAAAAGCCTATAAGGAACATCATCTGGGCACATTTTGTGGTTTCTAGTCATTGCCACAGGCGGTCCTCTACAACACCTGGAAGATGCTCCTGGTTGAAGTAATAATTCAGTTGAGTTTGCATCAGCAGTTATTTCAGTTGTGGCCAGACCCGTATCTAATCACTCAAATAAAGGTACAGGAAGGAAGAACCTTTTGATGGGCAAAGTGGAAATGAAAGACTCAAAATATCACTCGAGGATTCTAGGTGAGTACCTGAGGCAGAATGGCTATCTTAGCAATCGGAGATGCCAATCAGGAACACTTGTTTTGATAACTGTTTCCTAGGCATCTGTGGTCAAGACTGTAAAGGAAGGATAGGAAAAACCAGGCCAAGATAATTTAGAGCAGTTTAAGACGCTGGCTTCTTCGAAATTCACTTTTTCAGTGTGTGCGGTCAATTGGGGAAAGGACTAGGTTGGAGGGGGGAGGCTGGCGGTGGCTCCGTGAGATGGTCTGTGTGTAGTAAGCAACCTAAAATCTTACTAAAAATATTTCCCTTAAGAGCACGCTCTCTGCTAAATGTTGTAATTATACAAAATGTTTGCCTCGCTCTCCTTGCTGCTCCCTCCCCCCGGTGCCTGCTGCAGACATCATCAACTGCCTCTACAGAAACAGTGAGGAATCTGGAAGCAGCCTCGCACAGCTGTGTCTCCACAGCCAGCGGTCCGGTAGACAGCCCGCCTGCTCATGTCTGGACACTCTCTGAGAATATCACGGGGCATGAGGCAGGGTAAGCGGCACTGGTCTCATCCAGCTGGGGAAAGCTGCCTGCCCAAGAATCGGCGCTCATCAACTCGTCATTTGTTAAAAAAAAACAACCAATGCTCCCTGAGTACTTAAAATGCTACAGACAGGTGTTCACAGCCTCAGGTACATGAGATCTCACTCCGGAATTTGGAAACCCCACCACTAAGGGCAGTGGCTCTCAACCTGCAGGTGGAGACCCTTTCATAGGAGCTGCCTAACACTACCTTGCATAATCAGATACATTATGATTCACAACAGTTGTGAAATCAGTTAGGAAGTAGCAACAAAAATAATTTTATGGTTTGGGGGGGGACCACATATTGAGGAACTGTATTCAATGGTCACAGCATTAGGAAGGTTGAGAAGCACTCTCTCAGCACTAAAACTTTTAACTTAAAAGCCTCTTCAGTGAGTCTACAGTAAAGCTGAGGATGAGTGTGATTTTCAAACTTGGAAACCAAGACTTCTGGGCTCCGCATTGGAGCTTTTGATTCACGAGCTCTTGAGAATTTATTGATCCAAATTCCAAGGGAAGCCTGTGCCAAATGTCTGAGGGGGTCAGACTGATATAAAATATTTATATGGACAGATCTGTTTGACAGAAAATGAAATACTTCTGGGGACCTACGCTAAGGAAAAGTACTTCCCAGCCTCAGTGTTTGGAAAGGACCCTACCCCACTGCCTGAAAGAGTGACTTCCAGCCAGTGCCTACCCCTGAAGGACTTCCCTCTCAAACCACACAGAGATCCTTCCCTCTTCGTACAGGAGCTATGAGTTCTGCAAATACTCCTCACGGCTCTGACAGCTCAATTATCCTCTGCCGCCTTTCTCCTCTGGATTCCCACCCCATTACTTCTTCAAACCAGCCCTAAAAATTTAAAAATTGGCAACCACACACTGAAAACAGACAATAAAATGCTGGCCTTTACAAAACCTGGCAGTGAATGCCTCAAAAAATGGCACATCCCCTTAACCCAGAAGGTTCAGGGATTCAGCTTCAAGAAGTAGTCAAGGAATTGTGGAAAGAGTTAATGAGATGGATGTTCGTTTTTAATTATTTTGTGAGGCATTTGTAAATATTTAAACGTTAGCAAGTGGTCATAAGCCAAATGCATCCTCACAAAGCAAGTACTATGTAGCTACCATGGACAAAGCGGCTGAGAGATGCTGGATCTGGCTGATAACACTGGACAGATGGTATGGAGAGAGATAGATGAAGGCTGGGCCCTGGGCCATGACAGCTTATTTCAGAATTTTGGGTCTACCTTCCAAACTACTTATTTTAGAGTGAATCTTGTGACCTCTGGGAGTTTCAGTGGCTTATACGACTGACTAAATGAGTTGAATGCAAGTAAAAAGCTCAGGACAGAGTCTGGTATGAACACACGGTCTATTAGTAACTCCTGCTGAAAGACTGGACAAAGGAATCATGGTATGATTTGCACAGTTCTGTACAGACGCGTGCACAGAGAAGAAAGCTCCTGACTGTCTTTGGACAGTGAAATCTGATCTTTGTATTTGTGTCTGTCTAAACTGTGCGTAATTTGTGCTTATTGATTACAGAAAGAATAAGCTATAAAGTTTGCGCTGTGAACAAAAGAATCACAAGAGCAAGGCTTTCCAGGAACTCCCAGCTCCAGATCCATTCTGACCATTTTCCTTGAGATACTACATGCTATACAACATCTATGAATCTTTCTAAACATTCTATTTAAGGGCCTGACATAGTGGCACATGCCAAGTTCCCCTTTTCTTTACATTGTCCTATGAACTCTGCAAAGTTAGGGTCACTGCCACTTCAAAGGACAATGGCTCTCTCAATGCTTAGAAGTCTGATCAAAGCCTCTGTGCAGAATAACTTAGCTTTCACACTCTCACAATCATATACCATGGAAGGTCTAACCACTGACCTCACAGCTCAGCTTAGAAGCAGTAATTTTAAGTTAAGCACGAGTAAGCTGGGTGTGGTGGCGCATGCCTTGAATTTCAATACTTGAGAGGCAGAGGTGGGCAGATCTCTGAGTTCAAGGCCAGCCTGCTCTACAAAGAGAGTCCAGGACAGACAGGGCTACAAAGAATAACCCTGTCTCGAAAAACCAAATAATGTGAAGCATGAGTATTTCCAAAAAAACTAAAAACAGACAGACAGACAGACAAAGTTAAAGGAAGGACTTCCACCATGCAGTACCCCACCCAGACCCCAACCAGAGGGCTAAAGCAAGCTCCTTACCGTCATGGTTGCTGGAGAAATACCCTCCTCGCATGTAGGATGACTGGCAGTTAGGCACTTCTGAAAGGCAAGAACAGATGCTCCCTTAGCAACCACTCCTGCAGAACAGCAGAGACCACACCAGGAAGCAGGGGCCCTAAACCTCACAATTAAGGCGCTGCTGCTTGGGTTCTGTCAACTTTAACACAAGTCAGAGTTCCTTGGGAAAAGGGAAACTTCACTGAGCAACTGACTCTGTAAACCTAGCCCGTGGGGCACCTTATTAATGACTCATACGGGAGGGCCTGGCCTACTGTGGGAGAAGCCTGTCAAGCTGCTGCTTCTGGGGTGTGCAAGAAAGCAGGCTGAGTAAATTCCAGGCCAAACAGACAAGCCAGTGCAGTCCCTACTGTGGCAGCCCTCAGTAGTGATGAGCTGCGATCCCTGGCCAGCCCCACCCCACCCCCCAACTTGATCCCGATGAGTGTCTTACTGCAGGAACGAAAACTCAATCTGAGACAAAGGACACGCCTTTGGGGCTCTGTTCTGTGCAGGTGTACCAGGTTAACACACAATACAGCTCACACCGCAACCCACAGCGTGCAAGTATGACCCTCCTCATCCAGAGGGCCACTCTGTCTTCAGACATCACTTCACAAGGCACCAGGTGAGAAAGCTGCCCTCAAAGGGGCTTTAGGATGGGGAAGGGGAAGACGCCTGTTTCAGATCTGCTCCTTTGGCCAATGATGGTCATGTGCAATTCTGATGCCAGAAGGTATCTAAGGCCAAAAGGATTAGTGGAACTAAAGCTCTGAATCCAGGGTGACAACTGGCAGGGTGGGCACTCTAGTTTGGCAAGCACGTTCTCCCCACGGTGGATATGTTATGCTGAAACTCAGCCGTGCTCAAGTGGTCTTTTCTTTGGGGCCCCATGAGAGGAAGGTGACCCGAGTGCACCCTGGGACAAGGCGTCTGATGTGAACCTCTGCTGACTGCCTTTTGATTGAGTGGGAGGAGATTAGAAAGAAAAAAAAAAAAGTTGGCTAGATTAAAATGCCAATGCCAGGGGCCTGGTGGTTAAGAGCACGCCCTGCTCTTTTAGGGGACCTGGGTTCAATTCCCAGCACCCACATCAGGCAGCTCACAACCACCTGCAACTTCAGCTCCAGGGGAACGGCCCACCTTCTCAGATTTTCCCCAAACTAGTTTCTACGCAAACAAGCACAATCAGTGTGTTATCTCAAAGACCACCGCAAGGGGCACTCAGCTTCAGGTTGCTCCAACCTTCCAACCTATCAACCACCCTGCTGACGGTCACTTCACTCCCAACCATAAGGCAAGTGTGGATTCGGTGCAGCCCCATTAAAGGGGCTGGCCCACAAGACAGAGGAGGGAGGCAGGTCGGCCTCGACTTCTTCATATGCTGAAGGCCCTAGACAAGCCGCAGGGGCCAGTCACAGGTACCACAGCGTCCTCGGCAGGACAGGAGCACCAGCCCTGCGCAAGCCACGCCACAGAGGATCCGAACCAGCGGCCCCCTACATTTGCAGGTTATCAGGCCCTTTTCAGAAGGCTGGTTTTGCTCACAGAACTGTGTCTGAGATGGGGTTATGCTGGGTCTGCTGTACTGAAAACAAAGCCACCAAAAAACTAAACTAAACAAATGTGTTCCTCCAGGCCGGTACACTGAGGGGTAGGGCGCACCCAAGTGTGGGCCCAGCAATCTTCAGCCTGCCTCAGAGACATATTTTACACACTTTTGAACACCACTGGCTAATTCATTAAGCTCTTTGGGGGGTAGACTTTGTTTCTGGAGGTGCTGGCAGGCCATGGAACCCAGAAGACTGCACTGTTCCACCCTCAGCCCCTGAGGGCAATTCTAATACAGTGATTTCCCCCAAAGCATTGCACAGAGAAGACCCAACACGGATCAGATAGCCAAGCACGAGAACGCAGAAGCCGACGCAGTGAGTTTACACTAACCTGAATCGGCACAGTAGTCTCGGGGCTCCTGTTTGATTCCCATTGGTGACTGGAACCCGTGCGCCGGGGGACCAGGCATCCCGGGGACCCCATGTTCGTAGAGCGGGTCATGGTATTCCTGCTTGAATCCCTGAAGGGGTGGGGGAGCTGCCGGGACAATGGGCTCTGACATCTGCCGGTGGTAGCTGGGGCGATTATCTCCAGGGACTCCTGACTGAGGGAAGGGGTGGCAGGGCTCAGACAGCTGTCGCTGAAATCTGCAAGGGGAAAAAAAACAACAACAAAACATCGTATTGTTTAATACGAAGCAAATACTTACTAGGATCTAGCATTGGGGTTTTAGCCACAGCATCTGGTTTTAAGATGATGAATTAATTTCTAAATTAGAGAAATGTTGTTATTAATGTAAAATGTTGTTTATTATTAATGTGTGTGTATGTGTACACACGTGGGTGGGTTCTCTCTCCACCTCTCCACAGGTCCTGACAACCGAATTCTGATCATGTTAGCTCATACAGTCAAGTACCTTGAATGGCTGAACCACCTCACTGGCCCATGAATTAATTCTGAAAAGAACCAATGACTTACTTGGTATTGATACATATCATAAAGCTACCATAACTATAAGAAATGTAAAGGTTATTGGCAGATCAAAAGAATTGAATAAAAAAAAATCAGAAACTGTCAGGAATATTGCAAAATATACTTATTACCTGTTAAATTAAAGCATTTCAAATTTGTAGGGAAGGTTAGGTACTATTTTATACTGTATTCTGAACTAAATTTCATATGGACCAAAGATTTCATACTACGAAGTAAATATATCTGAGAACTTATACAATCTTGGGATGACAGAAAACTTAAGTCATCATGCTAATAGCAGACACCAAGATACACGTGGGTGAAGCCGGCATGGTGGTGGATGCCTGTGATCCCAGCACTCAGGAGGCAGAGGCAGGCCGATCTCTGTGAGTTTGAGGCCAGCCTGGTCTACAAACTGAGTCTGGAGTCCAGAAGAGCCAGCCAGGGCTGTTGCACAGAGAAGCCCTGTCTAGAAAGAAAAAAAAAAACAAAAACAAAACAAAAACACCCCAAACCCCCAAAACACATGTACACAAAAGTAAAACATGAAAGTGGGAAGGAAAAAAAAAATCTGTAATAGCTAGAAAGTGCCAGAAACAAAATCAAGAGTAAAACTGGGAATGCAGCAGTGATGATACTGCTTTTATCTTATTTATTTCACCCTGCACACAAGTCAAGATCTCATCGTCAGACCCTAATCTCTAAAACTTCTACAAGAAAAAAAGTAGAGAGTACACTTCAGGATACAGGCTTAGGTAAGGACTTTCTGAGTAAGACTCATCATGCAGAAAACAAGACCATCAGTCAGAGCGGGACTCCATGAGGCGGAAGCCATCAATGAATGAAGAGGCCACCTAAATGGGGAAAGTCTTTGCGAGGTTATAGCTGGCAGAGGATTAGTATCTAGAAGAAAAAATAAACTAAACATTAAGAAAATAAATGATCCCATTAAACTAGGAGCACCACACGCAGCTAAGAAAGATTTTTAAAGAGTGTTGGCCATCCTTAGCCATTAGGGGAATGTAAACTAAATTACACTGAGATGCTAGCTCAGCCCAGTCAGAATTTATAGATTAAGAAAACAAAACACACCGTTCTTACTGATAGATTTAACCAAATAGTTAGTTGGTCTTAGATGTGAATCAGTCTGTGTCAACAGGTGGCTAACAGATTGCTAACGCATCAAGACTTAAACCGGGGATCCGGGTACAGATAACACCACCCAGATCAGCCCACAGCAGGAACGGCAAGAAACACGAAAAAAAACCACCATGCTCTCGCATGATGCCTGAGCTTCTGTTCCCGTCTTAGCTGCCAGGCCAACATTCCACCACTGTGAAGTCCAGCGGTGCAGGCTAGCACTTCAGCAGAAACCTGGGCTTAAGGTTCCTGCTGACCCTTCGAGGGTCTCCGGACAAGCAAACCTGGGCTTGTCGTTTCAAATGGGCTAACGACCTGTGGGGAGCCTTTTGGAAAAGCATGGAGATGTTCCAGAGGCTTTATTCCTATTGGCGGCTCCAACCCCTTGTTACTTGAAAGGAACCACAGCGGGACAGTCCCTCCTTCCTCTTCTCCTGCCCCTCTGCCACCATGTTAGAACCGTCCAAGGTGACCCCTGCAAGTCAGTTCCTTTGACGGCCCGCACCACTCAGTTCTGTAACCAGAGCCCTGGCAGCTGGCGCAACCAAGGGTCCTGCTTCCGCTTAGTATTCATCTTCTCACCTTCCAGAGTGTAACCCTAGAGCTGGCCTGGGATGGCCTCGTTAGGAAGGATTGAGCCCAAAGACCAGGACAGACAGGGTTTTTCACCAGCGATGCTCTGCACTGCATACCGGAGAGTGGTAAAGGAGATCCTGGGGTAGGTCACAAGATCAACATATCTTGGGGGGGGGGGGGCAGGGGGGAATGGCCCAGAGCTTGGCGCTGTAATTGCTATTTGCAGAGATAGAGTAATTCAGTACTCGTCCTCAAAATACATCCTGTGCAGTTTACTCACTGGCCTTCATCTGAACCCCATACCGCTCTCAGCGATCTTTTTGAAGTAAGAATGTGTTGTCCACATAAAACATCCACCAAGAGGCTGCTGGGACCATGCCCAAGGAGCAGCAGCTTAAGCTGGCCAGGTGCTCTTCCTCCCACCCCATCCGGGACCCCAATGTAGCTTACAAGTAAGGAACTCACATTCAGTGAGCAAGGGGAGATAAACTACCGAGCAAGGCTCCGAGTGCCAGTTTATTTAAAGGACAAATTATTTATTTATTTATTTGTCAGATTTATACAGCTAGCGCCTTTCCTCTGGAGAGCAAGCCCACGCCACCAACATTTGGTTTACGTTATGAAAACTGTTAGATTCTTTTTCTGCATTTCCTTTTTGGTCTCAGCTGCCAACACGCAGAGTAAACACAATGGTAAGAGGAATAAAAGGGAAAAAAAAAAAAAAAGCAGAGATTCAACGCTGGGCTCACGGTGCCCATGACTGGCAGGTGACAGCTCAGAGGTCGCCTTCAAGACGATCTGTAAAATTCAATAAAAACCACACCACACCTCACCGTGAAGGCTAAGAGAACATGATAGAAAGAGCAGAGGCAAAAACGAGAGCCTGGCTGTGAGGTCAGAACAAGCTGAGCTGCAAGCCACTCTTCAACCACTGACTCTCCTCGTGACTTAGGCAAGTTACATAATAGCTGAGCCTTCGTTGTTTTTTTTTTCCCCCATCAGCAGCATAAGGATGACCAGGGCACCTGCCCCAAAGGTCTGCCGTAAAGATTACATAAGATAATGCACATAACTGGACGAAGCACGTAAGTTCTCACCACACAGAAGCTGAAATCACAAGCCATGCAAACATAAAGCCCTCACAGGATCAGGAGAGGCTACACACCCACAACACAGCTAAGAGGCCCCGGCTGTCCACAATACCCAGTGCCCCTCTGAGAGACAGCATGTTGGGCTGTGTTCCTGAGTGACCCGTTCGTGCCCACCTGGGAAGAAGACTGATACAGACTCGGCAGGCCACAAGGCCATCAGCTGACGTGGTATCCACACACAAGCCTAAGTCCATCAGCAAAACGACGGGGAGAACTTTGTGAAAACTGTACAAGGACAGCAACTGAGCAGGGTGCGGTGGCACTCACCTGTCATCAACACCAACACTCACTGAGGCAGAGGCCGGCGGATCTCTGTGCTTCCGAGGACAGCCTGGTCTACAAAGTCCAAGACAGCCAAGGCTACACAGAGAAACTCTGTCTCGAAAAACCAAAAACAGACAAAACAAAACCCCCGAAAAACAACAATAAAAAACCCAAAACAACCCCCCCCACAAACATAACAACTGAAGTTTCTAAGTCTATGGTATCAAAAAAGTTATGTTAAAACAATTATTTGTCATTATGTGGCTTTGCATGATAGGACAGGATCATGGGACCAGAGCTCAGGAGGACAAATTTCAGAACCGACTTCTCCCCACCTTTCACGTGGGTTCCAGGGATCCAGGCTCAGGTCGTAGGTTTGGGTAGCACACACTTAACTCTTGTGACATCTCACTGGCCCCAAAGTGATGCTTCAAGAGGAAAGAGCAGAGCCAGTGAGATGGCTCAGCAGTACAGTCATTTTGCCAAGCCTGACCATGTGCGCTTGTTCCCCGGGGCCCACGTGGTGGAGGGAGAGGCCGGACTCAGTTGGCTTCTGAGCTACATAAGTAAGTACTCCTCATCTCCATGGAATAATGTGAAAAAAACAAAAGAAGGTGAGTAAAACACAGCCAGGCATGGTGTTTAACACAATGACTGCTAGTCTGGGTAAGAACCCCAAGCCTACAGAAGGTTATCAGTTCCCTCGGAACCGGCGTTACAGGCAATTATGAGCTGCCTGACGTGAGTGCTGGGATCAGAACTCTGATCCTCTGAAAGAGCAGCAGGTGCTCTTAACCACACAGCCCCCTCTCCTGCCTTACCTAAACCACTCCCACAACTACTTTTCAAGGTTCTACTGATGGCATCTAGGACCTAAGGAAAAAAAAAAAAACTCTAAAAAAGTTTGAAAGGTATGAGAGCAAACAGCACAAATCATACCATAGGCAATACATCTACAGGAGAGTTTGAGCCTAAGCTGGCTGTCTAAATAGGTGGCTTTTATAGAAAACAGAACCAGACAGTCCAGAAAGAGTGAAACTAAGACAGAGAGACAGACAATGATTGACACCGCCAAGAAGTTGGCAGTGTCTGCCAAGGCTTTAAAGGCTCTAAATAAAAAAAGACAGTGACAGATATTCCAGGTTTTTAAAAGATATCACTGGCAACTTTGTGGTAATTAATTTTAAGACACCTAAACAAAAAATCCCTTAAATTTATTATTTATTAAACTACCCAGAAATTTAAGACAAACTAAAAGGTGAAAAACAAAACAAAACAAAACCTAAAACTATTTCCCACAACAACAATGTCAAGAGTAAGTTCAGTGCTAACTTTTTTCAACCAACTTCAAATAATAATTCAGATTTTACACGAAATATTCCAAATATAAAGACATCCTCCACGTATTTGATGAGTGCAACTTCAATGCTAAACCCAACGAAGTCCCTATATAAGAAAGAGAAAACACCTTATTCTCAATCATAAATTAGATGGGGGGGGGGGGGGTCCTGAACAATGCACGAGAAGCCAGGTTCAGCAACTGCAGAAGACCGACAATAGAGGCAGAACAGGGCTCGGCTGGCAAGGAGTGTGTAGGAGTGTGCCCCACAACCTTAGTCGATCCCTGGAACCCCGAGGTGGAAGGAGGCACCTGACTTTTGCAAAGTGGCCTCTGATCTCCATATACATTGTGTCACACGCACAAACACACATGTTAAAAAAAAAAAAATTCCAGATAATAAAGATACTAAAAACAATAAACATCTTGTATTTTTCACAAGAATGCAAGGATGGTTTCATAATATTCATTAAAAGAGGAAAATAATTTGATCATTAAAAAAATATATTTATTACATATACAGTATTCTGCCTGCAGGCCGGAAGAGGGCACCAGATCTCATTATAGATGGTTGGGAGCCCCCGTGTGAGTGCTGGGAAATGAACTCAGGACCTCTGGAAGAGCAGCCAGTGCTCTTAACCTCTGAGCCATCTCTCCAGTCCCTAACTTGATCATTTTTAATAGAGATGAAAATATTGTCTGACAAATTTCAACACTGACTAATGTTAACTTTTCACGAGAGGTAGAAGGAAATCTCCTTTAGCTTGACAAAGGTAAATACGTATGTATAATATATATAAAATAAACATAGCTTTAAAGAGTCAGAATACCCTCTATTTCAATTGTTAAGAGAAAGTTCTTTAGTCTGTCAAAGAAGGTTTCATTAAGAATTCAAGCAACTTGGATTTGAGATCCCCAAACAAACCTATGTTCCTCCACACAGCATGCTATCAGCCAGACACAGGATGGGAAGATGCCTGTTCTGTATTCCAGGCGGAGTTACACGTATGACTCAGTCAACCATTTCCTGTGTAACCACACAAGATCTGGAGGGCAATGGTGAATGGCAGTTTACCAGGGATGGACTCCAGTAGGAAGTACATCTTGTAATTTATCAAGCAGCTTGGTTTCTATGAAATCAAAGTCAGAGAAAGCAGCTCAAGCCAGGCTTTGGGGCAGGCCCACACAGCAGTTGTCCTCTGAGCACAGAGGCACTTTCCTCTTTCAAAAGGTACTGACCACCATGGCTGACCTCCTGCTGCCTTCTTCATATGGCTACTGAACATTGTAATATGGATACTCTTTTTATACTACCCGAAGGCACTTTTTTTTTTTTTTTTTCCTACTACGGAAACATCTTTAGTCTTATCTTCAGTTTCTGTTTTTCTTGATGTCAAGTGTGATAGATGGCACAGTGTTTCAAAATTCTTAGATGGAGTATTTTTTTCATTGAAGCTTCTTTAGTCAAATTGTGAGGCTTTCTTCAAGTTGAGATGCAATGATAAATACAACACACGGAAAGACAAAAACAAAACCCAAGCCCACATGCTGTGGGTAGAATATAGCTTCTACGTTCTTAGCATGTATGACCATCAAGACTGACCTCACTGAAGGAAAAACACAGCTTCAAATAGTATAAACGGACTGTGCTGGAGCATGGAGTACACCATGTGGGAGGAGCCACCACTATAAATGACAGCTTTCAAATAGAGTATTTATCTTCTAAAAATAATTATAATGAAACATTAAGAATATACTTACTTTGACTACATTAATTTCAGTTGTTTAAAGCATGACCACAGCAAATGACTGCCATTATCAATAAACACACGGGAGACAATTATGATCCAGTCTATGGAAAGGGACCCAGACTCATCACCTGAACAGACCAGGCATTTTATGAATAAAATAACGACACCTTGACAGCAGGAACTCCAAAGATATTGCCATTTAAGAGAGGAACAAAGTTCAAGGACAAAATGGACTTATCAAGGTCACTCAGCTTTTTATAGACCTTTTGTGGATATTTGCAACTCAAAGACAATCTTGCTGGGGTGTGCATACCCTTGATCTAGGCAGAGGAAGGCGAATCTAGACTGCTTTACAGAGAACAAGGGCCAGGACAGCCAGGGCTACCCAGAGAAACTGTCTTAAAAAACAAACAAACACAGTTGTAAGCAAATGATATCTCACTCTTTGCTTTCTCACTGTAAAATTAAGCACAACAACAAAATTCTGCTTTGGCCACAGAGCTGTGTTCCCTTTATCCTATAAAATAACTACACTTAACAAAGGCATGCTGGGACGAGGCAAGGCAGGGGAGCGCCTTCTCCACACTGTGTCAAAGTGTTACGGGAAAATACGAAACACCCCAAGATCCACCAACTCAGTCTCGGGATGGAGCAAAGGATGTCCGAATGTGCGTGGTCGCCTGCACGTGCACACACGCACACACGCACAGTATGGCCTGACAGACACAGAAGGTCAACCCTGGGTGTCTGCCCTCAGGTTCTGTCCACCTTGTTTTTTGAGGCAGGGTCTCTGACTAGACCTGACCTCACCAAGCAGGCTGGGCTGGCTGGCCAGCAAGCCCCAGGGATCTGCTTGTCAGTACCTTCCCTTGTATTATTACAAGCAGGAACCACCATTGCTGGCTTTTTCCACGTGGGATCTGAGCATCTAACTTAGTTTCTCATCCTCTTGCAGCATGAGGGACCCCTCCCTGCCAGAGTCTTGTTTTTAAATTTCTATATTAATTAATTCAATTTGCTGCTCAGTCAAAGGCCCCTTCCTCTTCTTCCTAGAGTCTGTATTTTTATCTCCATCTCCTCATACCTGGGGCGGCCTCCTATGCACCCTCAGCATGGAGACTGCCGTGCTCTGGGACGTCACCGAGCACCTCAGAACTGCTCCTTTTGTTGCGTTAGAAGCCTACACACTACCTTACCTTCCAAGCCAGTTTCCTCAGCGAGGTCTTGTTTTAGAACCACCATTAGTACAGGCAAAGGGTAAGAAGGAGGAAGTTAGAAGAGACAGGCCACTTCACAGAAGACTCATGGTGGAAAAGAGAGCCTACGTGCTTTCCCTCTGGACCCGAGGGCAGACAGTCATAAACCCCAGGGATCTAAATCTCCCTCTTTCTTGAGGGTGGGCAGCCAGGAGACTAGTCTGTTCTACAACTGACACTCGGGCTCCTCAGTCAGCCAGTGTGACAAGGGCTCAGGATAAGAAACAAGGTTTGAGAGGAAAGTGCTGGTCAGATTTAGCAAGGCAACTTCCCTTTGCCTCCATTTGCCAGGCATTTCAAATACTGAACAGATTCACTACATCAACCCTGCCCCCAATTAATAACTCCTGCAGAAAATCGGCGAGACGCTGTTTAAAAACACGACACCCAAATCTGTGAAATAAAAACAGCAAAAAGCCCACCGACTTCTGACCCCCAAAACCCATTTTTCATAAAAATATCAATTTTCTTGAAACTGAACAAGGTTATGAATATACGAGACTGGCAGAGCCTGGTGGCGGCTGTTATCTTTCAGATGCGCTCTCCATAGCAACAGAAGTCCATGAACCAGCATGTCTTGCCACATCACACATTTCACCCACGCCCTCGCTGCGGATCACCCCTGGGGCCCTATAGAGGGCCCATGCTTCTCTGTGGCTCTTGGCTTGACCATGGGAATGACTATCAGCCAGCTTTATCTCGAAGGTCAGAAGAAGTGGGGACAAGACCATAGCCAAGGACCCCCTCCACGGCCCCCTTCTTCTTGCCTGGACCTTCGGCCATACAGAGCAGGACAGACACAAGGAGTAGTGGTTTCCATCTTGCGGTCCTTGGTAACACCGCTGATGAGTCACTGAATCTCATTACCCAACACAGATGAAAAACATGACATGCAGTAAGTCCACAACAGGCCAAATCTCAGAATACCACAAAGAACTTAGAAAGGCGGATTCCCTTTTCTACCTTCATTTTTGATGAACGAAGGATTCTAGGTAATTTCCCCTGATGCCTCAACTGTTAGAAATATAAAACCACCTAGAGGGAAACCAGGAAATTTCTACCTCAAAAGTAGATGTTATCAGTAACATCCTTAGCTCATTCTATTGCAGAAATATGCTAAAATCTGATGAATAATGCCTCCTCTAAGTTGGAATCTTCCCCGGATACACACAGAATGATAGTAATGTAACCAAGAGTAGCATAAACTAAAGTTCAGTTTTACAAGCAGTTTCTCATGAGGAGCCCAGAAACTTGTAGGCGGAGGTCAACTAGGCTTCCCACACAGTGGTCTATAATCAGCCCATCCCCACAGTACATCAGTAGCCTTATTTCACTATGGACACAGTGAAGTGACACCTTTCCAGGTACCAGGCCAACATGACCTGGTACCTATCAGAAGAGAAGCAGTTACTCTGCTGATATGAGAGGGAATTAAAGTCCAGAAGTGACCCACCTCTGTTCTGATGGATACTGGCTTTCAGGCATCATCTTTGGCATTTGCAGGGGCTGATGTGGTGGCCGGGGGACCGCAAATGTTTGTTGCTGTGATCCAGGTTCCGGAAGTGAGTGAGGGGTGGGAGCAGGACCCACCCCTTGAACTGGGCCTGCTCCGGGGGCCAGAGCTGAGGTGGGCAGAGTTGCCTGAGGTGGGGGAAACAGGGAATTCTGATGGGTGGGTGACAAAGGAGTGGTGGGAGGGGTTAATGGCTTGAACCCAGAGGGAGGCTTCCTATCATAGGCACTGTGAAAAGAAGGAGAGAAGGACCCATTAAGCTGAGTGAGGCATTTGCATGGTAACCAGGCCCAGCAGAAACACCAGTTTGCAGCCCATTGTTTCCAGGAAATGACATCATTAACATAGTTAAATTGCTACAGCCCTGGGGGAATATTTGTACCTCTGAAATGTGACAAATACACTGCGTCAAAGGACTTGTTTAACACTTCTAGTGATTTTTCTCAAAGATAATTTTAGCTTCTGCTTCCGGTTTCCTTTCTCCCTCCTTCTAAAAGAATTCTCTGTGTCTGCATGTGCAAGGGTGGATGGGTGAGGCTGGGAATTTAAGGGCCTTCTATGGTCCCCTCTCCAAAATATTCCTGAGTTCCCAGGAACTGGTCAAAGTCTTTGGGGAAGGTAACAGCACTTGAATTAAACAAGCCTTTGCTGGCTCCAGGCAGATCTGTGTTTATCTTTAAGTGCAAAAAATGATTAAAATTAAAGCCTCATTCCCGGGGCCTGGATATTCTTAAGTAAAGGGCACAAGCGTGGGGGCTTTTTTGTTTATTCTGATTTGAAGATTATTTCCTCGGTGCTTAAAGTTCACATTAACATATGATCGACAGGAAAAAGTGTATATTACCTGCCCCAAAGCCACAGATCAAATGACCCGGTATTCCAGGCCCTTGCCCTGGCTGGCTCTCTCTGGAGCCACAGTATTTTAATGAAAGTTTTGCCTTTCGTGCATATAATGGCCCCAGTGAGATGGGCTACACCTGGAAGGCTACCACACAAGGCAGGCATGCTCAGCCCACACCCATCCCCACCCCCAGGGCATGCTAGGTAATAACTGATGCAGCTCCCAGAACCTTTGTGTGCAGCTCTCCAGCCCACCCAGCCCAGCCCCACCCTAGTCCCCCTCCAACACTTACCAATAGCTGTAGAGGCACTTTTCTCCATACTTAGCACCAAGGGCCTGCTCATGGCTACAGGATGACAACTCAGAGGAGGGGCTGTGCAGCTCCCGTTTGATCTTGGTGGGAGGTGGAGCATGAAGCACCACTGAAATCAGAAGAGGAGCGAGGGAGGGAGAGACAGAGAACAGCGGTAAATAAATCTCGATTCTTTCCTGCAAACTCCTGGAGCTGATCTTAGAACTCAAGGTCAACTGCCCCACCTAAATATTCAACCTTTTGTCAGAAAACAATTAGCATTCCTTCAAAGGGCATGGAGGTGCACACCTGTAACCTCAGCTCTTAGGGTGAGTTTGTGGCTAGTCTGGGATACATCGTGAACCGTCTCAAAAAAAAAAAAAAATCAGAAATCATCAGCTGACATTTAAATGATCAACCAACCCCATTCCTATTTCGTTAAGTCATTGGTCTTGTTTCCCAGTTTCTGAAGTCCTTAAAAATCCTAGTTACTGCCTGGATTTTCTTCATCCTTGAGAATACCAAGAATCCTGTCTCAAAAAGGAGAAAACAGCCAAGAGTGGCGGCAGCCATTACACATTAGCTTCTCAAAGGCTTTAAATGGCTGTGGTAATACATCCTCCAGACAGGGTTCTTCTGTGTAGTCCTGGCTGTCCTGGAACTCTGTAGAACAGGCTGGCCTCAGAGATCTTCCTGCCTCTGCCTCTGCCTCCAAGTGCACAGCCGCTGCCGCCACCGCCACCACCACCACCACCAGGCTGGCAATACATTTCTTATTCAGAAGCATGATCTTTGAAGACTTTTTCAAGTAACTCTAAGTTTTAGTTCTGAGTAAGAAACAGTCAGGCTTAGAGGAATTATAAAGTCTTAAAAGTCAAGGACTGAGACAACCCAGCAGCCTTCTAGGCCTTGGTGCCCACAGTATCTGCTCCCACCCTTTCCCAGGTCCCTATCAGGAAAGGACAGGTTCCTTCAGCACATGGTACCCAGTGATGGCTTGGGCTTGTTTTGTCCCCTCTGAAACTCATGTTGCAATCTGTTTCCCAGTGTAATGGTGCTGAAGGGAGGTGCTTGGTCAGTGTTCCACCTCATGGACGAAGCATGTTCTTATACATACAGTCTCCGAGTCATGTCTCTGCCATGCCCTCCCCCTGCCCTCTGCTTGGCACAAAGACGTCAGCAGATGCACCTGGAGCCCTAACCAAAACAAACTTCATAAACTACATATGCATGCACATGGGTGTATCTGTATTCTTAATAAATTGACCAGTCTGGTTATTCTGCTACAGCAACAGAAAATGGACTGAGACGACGATGGTGCTGTCTCTTGAATGTGTAAGGTAAGTTCCTGTGGCAGGGGCTGTGTTTGGAAGCCAACTACAGATTCCACGTAGGATTCTGAGGGCGAAAAACCAGGACTTTTCAAAGTGAAGGTGCCTTATGTACAGTGTTCCACACTCCTGAGCACAGGGAACTAAGCCTTCCCTTTCTTACCTAGATACTAAATTGCTTCAGAAAGGCCTCCCCCGCATCCCCCAGTAGGACAAACCCTAACACAGATTCTATACCACAAGGGCTATCTCTTCCAGAAAGAATTTTAAAATGGCTCCTCTCTGCCTAGCTACCTGGCTGCAGGGTGCGGGTGCTGTTCTCTGGGGACTACTCACACACCTTGCCACAAGACTCGTGAGCAGCTAACCACAGGTGCAGCTAACCACAAGCAGCGCCCTGGTGACCCACAGACATCTTCCTTGACTCAATGTTTACTCCTAAAATACTTTTAGGATTCTGGCTAAGATCTAGCGATTATACCAGGCACAATCAGCTACGTCATCATCATCTACCTAGTAAGTCTGAACAATCTTTCAGACTGGTTACTCTTTTAACTTCGAATCGGACAACCTGAATTTGATCCCCAGAACCCAAGGTGGACAGAGAACTGACTTTGAAAGTTGTCCTCTGAACTCCACACAAATGCCATGGTAAATGCACAGGCAGACACACAAAATCATCCTCTCACCTGTGAGCACCCCCCCAATATAAACATGTATGTGTGTGTTTAGAGAGAGAGTAAGAGAGAGAGAGAGAGACACTATCTTGCCAACAAACTGGAGAAGACCGGTTTTCATAATTCCTTTCTTACATAATACCAACTGTGTTTTCCTGAATCCATGAAATAAGTTGAGAACTAGCAGATTATATTTAGAAGTCTAATATTAGAGTCTGTCATGAGGTTTTGATGGTGACATCATGGCAGCCTAGAGCTGTTATCAAATGTTTTCAGATACTCACACAAAAGGAGCTACACTTCTCTGTTTGCAGCTTGTTAAGACGTGAGAAACTCAGGCAGCCATCAGGGTGGCCCCTTGGTCGCAATCTCCCTTTTTTTTTTTTTTTAACTACTTTCTTGCTGTCAAAAGTCTTGGTAAAAAAATTAGTCAGGACAGTATCAACACTTCAATTAAAACAAAAATTATGTTTAGCCTTAAATTATGTGTAGACTTTCCTTTGTCTAAAAATTGTCATTTATAATTATTGCTTTACCTAGATTTGGAAAGTAAATGGTTACGGGTAACAATATTCATTTTTTTTTCATTTCTGGTTTTAGAAATGGCTTTCTTCATTTTCCCAGTGCTATTGTTAAAATTATCAGTGTCCCTGACAAGGCAAATCTAGAATGTGAACCAAAGCTGCTCAGAAAAAAACTTCGTTGTAATTTCAGGAAAAGCATAATCCCTTTTAAAAGGGAATCATCTCCGCCCCTCGCTATCTTCCCCTCAGTGTATTCTCACCACTGTTATGTAACGATACTTTTTCTATATAGAAAGGGGGAGTTCAAGAAATCCAAATTCGAATGAACGGTGGCACCAGGCCTGGTGGGCACATCCTACAATTCAGTAGGCACATCCTACAGTATTCAGGAGGCTGAGGGTGGAGGAACAGATTGTGGCCAGCCTGGGCTACATGGCAAAACATCACAAAACAAAAACATAAGCATTGCAATAAATTATGACTTAATTACAGTGCCACCTGGCTTTTAACACTAAAGGCAGGGTCCACATTTGCTCTTTAATTCTAGGTATAGTTTAGCCATAAATGCCCTCCCTACCCCCAATCAATCATCTTGAGAGATCTACGCTGACAGGAGAGCTGGTGAGGCCTGAGAGCAGTGAGAGGAGGGCTGCAGTTCGGGCGGGCAGGGGCTGTCAGCAGGAGACTACCTCTGGCATGTTTCAGTTAGAGACCAGTCAACTGAAATCAGGAGCTCCAAAAGCCAAGGAAAGCACCTTGCTCTTGGGTTTCCTCACGGGGAAACTGTGCACACGATGCTGCCTTGGGAGCAAAGAAAATGGTGTATAGAACCTCTTGCATGAGGTGAAGATGTTGTCTGTGTACCAAACAGTCACAGGCATCTATGGCTGTAAAGGATGGAGCTGATGAGCCCTGGGAAGGATTGTGAGCTCCAGAGAACTCTGAAATGTTCAAGGTGTTGGCTATTTGAACTGATAAAAATCTATAATTAGAAAGGTCCGTGCTCAGAGGAGGAAAGATGGACCCACAAAGTCAGTTGCCAGTAATTCCTGATCAATTTGGACCACCTTCAAGGAAGGTCGTGAAGATTTCACCCCTGCCCTTTCTCAGATCTTTTATGAGACCATGCTCTGACCATATGAGCGAGCGAAAGAGCCAGACCCCCTCCTCATAGTACTCGCACGTTAGCTGCAGATTTTAGAGTTTTTCCTCACAGAGGCAGTTTGAGAGGTTGCTGGGGCCTTGGTCCACTGAGTTTAATCCCCAGAGGCTCAACAGAGTGGAAGGAATTGTTCAGGGCCTTAGAGCTACTGGGAAAGGTAGGACAGCATTCCATGCTGTCACCCTGTCCGCCTTCTACTACTACATGGTCAGAGACAGGAGACATTCCAAACACCTACTTTGTCCATTAGGAAAAAATAGAGAACATCCCCCTGCCTTGTTTCTCTGAGGCTCTTTGAGGCAGAATCTCTCCCTGAACTTGGAGCTGGCCTAGCAGTCAGCAAGCCCTACCTGGCCATGCCCACCACAGACACAACAGTGGGGTCACAGACTCACAGTCACACCTGGCTTTTTCCTTGGGTACTGGAGGTTTGAATTTGGGTCTCCTTGCTTGCTCAGCAAGCTCAACAACCAGGCAGGCACCTCAGCACTCAACTCCCGATGGGCCAGATGCCTTCCCTCACTTCACTTAGTCTCTCCAACCAAATGGAAAATATCAGTTGCACTCTTTCCATTTACAGATAGGAAAACAAAGCCGGTACGTTGCTAGGACTCCTACCCAAGCAGTTCTTAGGCATCCTATTATAGCCTCGGAGGTAATCAGAGAACAAAAGACTATTTAGGAAAATGGATGGTGCTGGGCATAGGGGCTCATGTGTGTAATACCAGCACCAGGGAGGTTGGAAATTGAAGGATCAGGTGTTCAAGGCCATCCTCTGCCACATAGCAAGTTTGAAGGCAGCCTAGGCTTTATGAAACCATGTGCTGGGAACGGGAGAATGTTGGTGAGAAAAACCAGTCATGAAACAAGGCATGGTGGGATATGCCTGTAGTCCCAGCACCCAAAGGCTAGAGGGACAGGTCACCATGGGCTGAAAAAAAGCAAGAACCTGTTTCCAGAGAGGCAGATTTTAAAAACTAGCAGAAAGGGATGGAAAAGAAACTCAAATCAGAAAACATGAAAGAAATGTTTTTGCTCAATCACCAAGCCGCATGTTTCCTGTGCACTGTGCAGGTGGCCACCAGAGACACCTAACCCACCAAGGAACACACACCCTCCGCTGCCCCCCCCACGCAGACCATCCTGGTTCCTCCTTCACGCCTACTGGCAGCCACGCTTCCCCACTCCCACAGCCTTCATTCCTTGCAAGCCATGCCTTCTGTTCCAGCGATCCTCCTATAGGGCCTCATCCCCTCCTACAGGCCGGTTGGCCAAAGCCTTCTGCTCCTTCAGAGAACTGCCAACACATGGGAAGACCTAGATCTTGACAACCCTTCTCAAAGGCACCCGTGCGGCAAGAACACTCACTGGCCGAGGCCACGCTCCAGGCTCCCATTAGACTACAAGAATTCTAATAAAGATCCATATCCAAATAC